AACAATTAGAAATACCTTTAACCAAGCATCAAGAACATCCTGTACTACTACTAGAAATACCTTTAACCAAGCATCAAGAACATCGTGTACTACTACTAGAAATACCTTTAACCAAGCATCAAGAACATCGTGTACTACTACTAGAAATACCTTTAACCAAGCATCAAGAACATCGTGTACTACTACTAGAAATACCTTTAACCAAGCATCAAGAACATCGTGTACTACTACTAGAAATACCTTTAACCAAGCATCAAGAACATCCTGTACTACTACCAACGTTTCTTCCCATTCTTTCATTTCTTCTTCAAAAGGTTTGATAAATGGAGATCCCCTCATGGTCTGAACTTTTAGTATATGATCATCGAGGAGAGCTTGAATATCATCAACAGCTGAAAGAATGGAAACCCCCTGGTGATGAAAAACAGAATTAGCAAGGTATATATGCCATTGAGCTGAAATGGTAACAGTACTGAAACGTTTAGTACAAGAACAATCTTAAAGATACCACCACCGAAACCATGTTTACGTTTACTGCAAGAACAAAAAACACAATTAACATTATATGTATACAAAAAATTAAATCTTATACATATATTAACATATATTAAATACAAACGAATCCACTAAAACTGATCAAAAGTAATAAAACAGAAAATCCTGTATGATAACGATGAACATTGTGTTTGTTTGAAGTTAAGCAGAAAGCTGCACAATGGGCTATCTGTGCTCTGCCCACCATGATTATCAAAACCCGGTTTCTAGCGTTGTGAGTCCGCAGACATACTGCTGTGCTACGTGGGGGGGGTGAACATTGTGTTAAAAAAGCAGTTACTTGTGTAACTAATTCCATTTTATCAAATTGCATGCTGTAAAGAGTCAGATTTTCATACATTTTTAAAAAGATTTTATATTATCAATAGTTTTTTTATTGGAAGAGATTGAAAGATATAGAGTTTAAAACAAAAATGATGCAATAAAGTTAGAAGAACAAATGACTAAAGAATAATGATTTACAACATTTAAAAGATATTTCTTGAGTTTAAAGATGCTTGAATTACTTGTAGTACTAAGGATAGTCAGATTTATATCCAGTACTTACAAGCCCCTGATAGTCAATTTATATTGACTACTTACAAGCCCCTGATCTTACAAGTCAGATCTATATCTACTACTTACAAGCCCCTGATAGTCAGATCTATATCTACTACTATTTATAAGCCCCTGATATTGCATAATAACATAGGAGCAGATGTTAGTGTTCTAAGTCAGCATTTCCCAAAGTGGGAGCCACAGCCCCTCCTGGGGGGATCACAAAACAAATGGGCCAAAAACAAAGATGCTGAATTAATTATAATTCTAAATAAACTGATAAAAATTATGTTGAATTAATTAAATGATACGGTATGTTGAAAGGAAATGTTATTGTTTTTACTACGACATTGTTTTCCAATCACCATGCTAAAGTTATAGGTCAGGGGGCCTCAAACTTTTTTTATCACAGACTAAAAGAGTTTGGGAACCACTGGTCTAAATTATCCCATCTTTACCATTTTCAAACTGTCTTAAGAACTGACCATTGTGATGCGATAAATAAACTAATCCCCTTTATTCCACGAGATCACAAACACACACACAAAAAAAAACATTTTCTGTCACATAATGTTTTATTACAGCTTGACCGAACATCAGGTTAACCGATCTTCTGGAAAACTCACTGTTTCTCTGTATGGAACAAACTCAAAACATATGTCTTTCCATTCATTCTTCATTTTCTCCAAAGCTTTCTCCAGAGAATATTCTTTAGTAGCTGTTGCTCCAACATCTTCTAATCTATATAAATCACATGAAAAACCTTGTTTTTTTTATATTTCATCCATGTTACTTATAAAATTTTGATCTCCAACATCAATGCATAGAATGTATACTAATTCTTAAGAAAACTGTTATCATTTAGATATAATCCTATTTTTGTAGTTCGAGTAGATACCAAACCCAAATGTTCTATTAACTGGGCTACAGGATTAATACACTAGTTATCACATTTAAATATTAAATTCAAACTACCACACGTATACTGTCTTTGTATTGGTACATTTTATATCCAAAAATATATATACAATTCCTGCCTTTGAAAATAATAAAGAATGTATGGTTTTTTCAATAATACTTGCCATTTTATTACAATTTTAGTAGAGGTTCACAGAGACATGTTTTCTCCATGTGATTAGATATTCCATAAGATTGCTTATGTTACTGTAGTAAAAGAATTATTCATTCAGGAGAACAATATAAATGATGCAGGAAGATGGAACAACAGTTTGTGAGGTTTAAGAGAACAATATAAATGATGCAGGAAGATGGAACAACGGTTTGTGAAGTTCAGGAGAACAATATAAATGATGCAGGAAGATAGAACAACAGTTTGTGAGGTTCAGGAGAACAATATAAATGATGCAGGAAGATAGAACAACAGTTTGTGAGGTTCAGGAGAACAATATAAATGATACACGAAGATGGAACAACAGTTTGTGAGGTTCAGCAGAACAATATAAATGATGCAGGAAGATGGAACAACAGTTTGTGGGTTCAGGAGAACAATATAAATGATACAGGAAGATAGAACAACAGTTTGTGAGGTTCAAGAGAACAATATAAATGATACACGAAGATGGAACAACAGTTTGTGAGGTTCTCCCTCTTTCCTCTTCTTTCAGTTTTGAGATGATTTTATGAGCTCCATGGCTCCATAGTGAGTCTTTCTTCTGGTCAGAGGGAAAGATCATTCTGAGAAAGATCCCTAACTCTGTTGATACGTATTTGTCAGTTGGTTACTCAGACAGTGAATTCTGTTTTGTTTTTCTTTTAGTTTTTGAACAGTGTGATTTGTAATGCTATTAATTGTTAAATTTTTACTGCTAGTTGACACTTGGTTTACAGATATTGCTGGTTGCTAGGCTTTGATAAATCAATGTCACTAATTGCTGGATTTTAACATATAGTTCACCTGTTACTAGGTTTTGACTACAAGACATCACTGGTTTCTAGGCTTTGAAAATCAATGTAACTGGTTACTAAACTCTGAAATCCAGAAGTCATTGGTTGCTAGGCTTTGACTACAAGATGTCACTGGTTGTTAGATTTTAATTTCTAGATATTACTGGTTTTGACTACAAGATGTAACTGGTTGCTAGGTTTTAATTTCCAGATATTACTGGTTTTGACTACAAGATGTAACTGGTTGCTAGGCTTTAATTTCCAGATATTACAGGTTTCTAAACTCCGACTTCCAGATATTACTGATTATTAAGCTATGACATCCAATGTCACTGGCAGAGATGCTTTAACTTCCAATATCATTGGACTATTGATTTAGCCACTAAGCATCCAGTGTTGGACATAACCCACACTTCTGTATTGGTTCCACTGAAATGCTGAAGAACAACCCTGCACAGAGCCCAGAATGTCACGCTCCTCAAACAAACAACAGAAGATTAATCAACAATTTTGTAACAACTGGTTAGATTCCAGCTAAGTGATAAAATATGAACTTTAAATATAAGAAACATTTGAGTAAAATAAACTTACTTAGAGAGGTGCTTGTCAATTCCGTATTCTACCATGTTGGACAACGATGTGTTAGACTGGATGGTAATACTGAACCCTACAAGATTGCTAATCTGTTTTCAAAGAAAGAAATATAGGTAAGAGCTATTGAAACCAACATTTCCTGCAAGAATACAAACTGACTGCTCTGTCATTAAGTACAACACTTTACGAGAATGTTCAAACACCTTCAGTGACTACTGCACTGAATAAAATGTATGACACTTCAACACACATATGGATGGTACTGTGTTTTTTTTCAATATAACTTTCAAAACTGTTTACGCACCAACTTGTCTATGGATACATGACATTCTTGATGACAGGCTCCATAATATATATATATAAGTAATACATACAAAAGTTAAACAAAAATATCGTTAACATTTCAATTAATCCCACTAATTACTACTTGGGTCGTATTGTACAACACCAGATCTTACATCAGTACTGTACAACACCAGATCTTACATCAGTGCTGCACAACACCAGATCTTACATCGGTATTGTACAACACCAGATCTTACATCAGTACTGCACAACACCAGATCTTACATCAGTGCTGCACAACATCAGATCTTACATCAGTACTGCACAACACCAGATCTTACATCAGTGCTGCACAACATCAGATCTTACATCAGTACTGGACAACACCAGATCTTACATCAGTACTGCACAACACCAGATCTTAAATCAGTGCTGCACAACACCAGATCTTACATCAGTACTGGACAACACCAGATCTTACTTCAGTACTGGACAACACCAGATCTTACATCAGTACTGCACAACACCAGATCTTACATCAGTACTGGACAACACTAGATTTTACCTTAGTGCTGCACAACATCAGATCTTACATCAGTACTGCACAACACCAGATCTTACATCAGTGCTGCACAACACCAGATACCAGATCTTACATCAGTGCTGCACAACACCAGATCTTACCTCAGTGCTGCACAACACCAGATCTTACATCAGTACTGGACAACACTAGATTTTACCCTAGTGCTGCACAACACCAGATCTTACATCAGTACTGCACAACACCAGATCTTACATCAGTACTGCACAACACCAGATCTTACATCAGTACTGTACAACACCAGATCTTACATCAGTGTTGCACAACACCAGATCTTACATCAGTATTGTACAACACCAGATCTTACATCAGTACTGTACAACACCAGATCTTACATCAGTACTGTACAACACCAGATCTTACATCAGTACTGGACAACACTAGATTTTACCTCAGTGCTGCACAACACCAGAACTGTGCAAGTAACATTTTGAGCAGTTTTATAAATTTATCAAAAATAAGTAAGTCATACATGTTTATCGTTATCTATAAATATTATTTTCACAAAATGTTAAAACAAAGAAGAAACAAATACATAACCATGCACGATGATCCAGAGGGCTGCTACTTAGATATATCTTGCAATTAATTTGAAGTTCCTGTCACTAGTAAAATCAGTATGCACTACCGGCACTTGTGTTTAAAATTTGTTAAATTATAATAAATAATTAAAAACAATGTTTTATATTTACACAATAAAAACTTTATTAAACCCAAAATAAACGTCGAAACGTGTACTTGTAGAGAGATATTCTAAAGTGGAAGCCGTACGGCTTCAATAAAGTTTTTATTGTGTAAATATAAAAGTTGTTTTTAACTACTTATTATAATTAAAAAAAAAATAAACTAGTAAAATATTTAGTTTAACTTTTATGATGTTTCTAATGTCATGGAAAAACAACAACCAATGGCATGTTTTATAAAATAGTTTAACACCCCCGAACTTTTATTTTATTTTTTGAAATATCAGAATAATTACCCCTTCTTACCACTTTCCAGTGACGTGATCTCAGGCCTGGATTACAGATAATATGTAAAACTGGAACATTTGTCTTAAATGATTCAATTTTATCTCTCAGATGCTCAGCAACTCTCCTGGGTGCTGGCTGATCAGCAAAAGATTTGGAGAGTTTATAAACATTACGCCACATGGCCTCTAATTCTTCTTTTACCTCCTCTGCATTGAGTTTTTGAAATGAACCTGGGAGAAAAACAGTACTGATCAGTGTATATATATATATATACATACATATCAACACAATGTATGATATTTAGGAAGTTACTATCATGCCCACAACTAGCCATAAGCTATGAGTGGTAGCATGATTGGGGCATTGTGGATTTCAGCAAGGGTCACAGCCCCTTTCTGCTTGATTTCAACCTATGTTTAGTAGTTACTGAGACAAAACACCCTCAACACATTTTTATAAGTTATTACTACATTACATAAATTATACTTTTTGTGATTTTCTACAATTCTGAATTTTCTTTTATGTAGTGTCTATGGTTAAATGTTTTGTGGTATTATTTGATTGCTCATTTATAGTTAACAATGTGTTTTTTAATGTTTCAGCTATACATTTGTAATATATCAAATTACATTCAACTGTCCAAATAAGCAATCAATCATATTGTAAACTTTAATCAAGTACTAACAGTAGAACACGTATGGAACAAAACAACAGATAAAGCTCCTGTTCCACAGAGTAGGCTTTGATCAGGACATATTAATTTGTAGTTTTAGTGCTGTAATGTAATCTAAACCTAAATTTACTTTTTGTGAAAATGTTTCAGTAAAATGAACAAAGAGATATTGATTTTGTTTTAATAATAATACTTGTTAAATACGCTTGACTCTTTAAGATGAAGTTTAAGTAAATATCATAACTATATACTAACCATCATACCACTGTTTGTAACTGTTATAAAAACTCAAGGCAGTGTTCCAAAGTTTGTCATACGGCTCCTTCTGTTGCTCTATTACTTCAAGTACAGGGAACAAGGTTTTCTCCCAACCAAGGAGACTCTCTTCTTCATTGATATTCTATTACCGAACAAGTTAAGTCGTTACATAAGTTTAACAACACTTACTTTGTTCAATAACAACCTCCTTATCAGATGTTGTAGCACTTGTATATCTAACACAGAATGGTATGTATATCTAACACAGAATGGTAAGTATATCTAACACAGAATGGTAAGTATATGTAACACGAAATGGTAAGTATATGTAACACGAAATGGTAAGTACATGTAACACAGAATGGTAAGTATATATAACACAGAATGGTATGTATATCTAACACAGAATGGTAAGTTTATATAACACAGAATGGTAAGTATATATAACACAGAATGGTAAGTATATATAACACACAATGGTAAGTTTATATAACACAGAATGGTATGTATATCTAACACAGAATGGTAAGTATATCTAACACAGAATGGTAAGTATATATAACACAGAATGGTAAGTATATCTAACACAGAATGGTAAATATATCTAACACAGAATGGTAAATATATCTAACATACAGTGGTATGTATATCTAACATACAGTGGTATGTATATCTAACATGAAATGGTAAGTATATCTAACACAGAATGGTAAGTATATCTAACACACAATGGTAAGTATATCTAATACAAAATTGTAAGTATATCTAACATAGAATGGTAAGTATATCTAACACACAATGGTAAGTATATATAACACAGAATGGTAAGTATATATAACACAGAATGATAAGTATATCTAACACAGAATGGTAAGTATATGTAACACAGAATGGTAAGTATATCTAACACACAATGGTAAGTTTACAATTTAGCAGAAATAAAAGCATGTATTTTAAATCTATACAGAAATCAGTTTATTGTTTTAAACAACATTTTAGCCTTCTTCTGGCAATACTTAACTCTTTACATTCTTTGTACAAGATTAAAATCTAATATGCATGATAATAAGTAATCTTCAAAAATGCCTTTTAAGAAACAAGTGAGCTAATTTAAGCAAGAAAAACTTGGATCCTTTAGAATTAATGTTTATGATAAGAAGGCAACTGAAACCTTGTAACAAAAAGTAAGACAATGATAAGTAGACAATGGAAGTCTTGTCACAAAAGTAAGACAATGATAAGTAAACAATAGAAGTCTTGTCACAAAAGTAAGACAATGATAAGTAAACAATAGAAGTCTTGTAACAAATAAGACAATGATAAGTAGACAATGGAAGTCTTGTAACAAAAAGTAAGACAATGATAAGTAGACAATGGAAGTCTTGTAACAAAAGTAAGACAATGATAAGTAAACAATGGAAGTCTTGTCACAAAAGTAAGACAATGATAAGTAAACAATGGAAGTCTTGTTACAAAAGTAAGACAATGATAAGTAAACAATAGAAGTCTTGTAACAAATAAGACAATGATAAGTAGACAATGGAAGTCTTGAATGATACGAAAACAATGGTAGTCTGTAAACAAAAAAGTAAGACAATGATGAGTAAACAATGCAAGTTTTGAATGATAGAAAACAATGGAAGTATTGTAAACAAAAAGTAAGACAATGATAAATAAACAATGGAAGTCTTGAAACAAAAAAGTAAAACAACGATAAGTAAACAATAGAAGTCTTTAACTAAAAGTAAGACAATGATAAGTAAACAATGGAAGTCTTGAAACAAAAAACAAGTTTTTGATAAAAATATGATGAAAGCATTAACAGCAAAAAGTCTGTGTTAAGAAAACAATGAAAGCGTTAAGAACAAAAAGTAAGACTGTAATAAGAAAACAACTGAAGCCTTATGAATAAAAAGTAAGAACTGTGTTAAGAAAACAACGGAAGCTTTAAGAACAAAAAGTAAGACTGTAATAAAAGCATTGAACTTATCACATCATAACAAGTTAATAAAGGTAATAAAAGTATTGATCTTATCACATCATAACAAGTTAATAAAGGTAATAAAAGTATTGATCTTATCACATCATAACAAGTTACTATACTTTAATAAAGGTAATAAAAGTATTGATCTTATCACATCATAACAAGTTAATAAAGGTAATAAAAGTATTGATCTTATCATTTCAGAAGACTATGTTCAAAAAGAATATTATGCTTACTTTATAATGTGTATATACTTACTAATAACTGATGAGAAAAAACTAGGTTTGGTAACATACATGTAATCTTACCATTAATTCTTGCTTGGCTTCCTTAAGCATTGATGAAATACGGTTCAAAGATTCTACATTCTCTATCATTTCCTCGTGACTAACTCCCTAAAACATTAACCATGCTATTTTATAACTATACAGAACCATCAGTAATAAATGACACAAAAACAGATCAAAGATTAACACATAACACTATCTGGTACATTACATAATAGTACTACAGTGTGTTATTTTATTAATAATATTTTAGGTGTTCACATTTTATTTATAATATGTACATAACATACAGAATGTCTTATACAAAACATTATCCACCAGCGAAACGATATTAATAATACAAAAAAAAATATGTAAGATGAAACCTTATCAAACAGTGACACAATAACAACGATACATCATAGACTAAATATTTTAGACAAAATATTATAAACCATCAACAGAACATTAATAGTACGTAATTTATAAAACAAAATATTATCCACAAGTAACATGATATTAACGATAAATAATACACAAAACACTATCCACCAGTGAAACAATATTAATGATATATAATACACAGAATACTACCTTTCAAGAATGTTCGTCACAACATGAACATAACACACTTACCTCCTGCTTTTTGAAATGATCCATTTCCTGTCCAATTCCACTTAATGTTTTCTCAAAATTATCAATTCTGGCCCGAAGATCTTCTTCTGCACTATCTCGGGAGTTTGATAATCTTAAACGACTCATATCAAAAACTTTCTGAATGTCTTGAGGCCATTGAAATACTCGACAATTCAACTGAATGTCTTCAGCTTCGTATAAAGTGATTCATACAGTAAGTTTTGGTGAAACAACAGAAACATTAAGTTTCTTCATTAGGAATCTTAAGTTATACATAAATGGTACTAGGTCGAATATGGTACTAGGTCGAATATGGTACTCGGTTGAATATGGTACTAGATCGAATATGGTACTAGTTCGAATATGGTACTAGGTTGAATATGGTACTAAGTCAAATATGGTACTGGGTTGAATATGGTACTAGGTGGAATATGGTACTAGGTCGAATAAGGTACTAAGTGGAATATGGTACTAAATCAAATATGGTACTAGGTTGAATATGGTACTAGGTTGAATATGGTACTAAGTCAAATATGGTACTAGGCTGAATATGGTACTAAGTCGAATATGGTACTAAGTCAAGTATGGTACTAAGTTGAATATGGTACGAGGCTGAATATGGTACTAAGTTGAATATGGTACTAAGTCAAATATGGTACTAGGTGGAATATGGTACTAGGTCGAATAAGGTACTAAGTCGAATATGGTACTAAGTCAAGTATGGTACTAAGTTGAATATGGTACGAGGCTGAATATGGTACTAAGTTGAATATGGTACTAAGTCAAATATGGTACTAGGTGGAATATGGTACTAGGTCGAATAAGGTACTAAGTCGAATATGGTACTAAGTCAAGTATGGTACTAAGTTGAATATGGTACTAAGTCAAATATGGTACAAATATTTCTAAATAAAGTGTTGAACCTTGCTTTCTAAAATAATTCCAGCCAAAAATGCACCAGAAAAATGGTTATGCACTAAACAAAATTTGTATTTATTTGATTCTATTTTTTTCCCCTTTTCTAACCTAAAGATGAGGAGAAAAGGCTGATGTATGCAAAGGAAAAGTTAAAATTTGATAGGAAAAATGTGATTTTTTTAAAAATTTCAGAGTATAAAGACATACATCAAATAAAAGTGACATCTGAAAGAATGCCCTATGGAAATTTGAACTTTTCCCACTGAAGTTGTGTTGATATAACTAACCTGCTACAGTAAAATAATAGGATTAAAATAGTTTTTTTGTTATAATTGATCCTAAGTGTGATAATGTGAATGCATATTATAATCACCAAAAAATAAAGAATTTTTTCTCCTCTTACAAATAAAAATATTTTTATTTCACCAGTTTGCAAAATTATAATAATAATAATACCGATTTTCCAAAATCTAGAAATAGTAAGGAAAATTAAAATTTTAGACAATTTTATCAAATCAATTAACATATTACATAAACATTAAATTTTTGATTCAAACTTCATTAACAAAAAACATCATAAAAATATCTATAACGCTAACATTAGTTACTCTCGATCACATGTTGAAATCTCTTGTAAACTTTGTAAGGTTTTATTTATCTAATTATTCCATGTTATATAATTATGATTAAAATGTATGCTACATAAACATTTCTTTCTTATCTACTACATTTCCTGAAAGTAAATCAAAAGTAACCAGTATTCATAAGTACACGAACCTGATTGTGGTATTTTCTGATCCACTAGTAACCAGTATTCATAAGTACACGTACCTGAATGTGGTATTTTCTGATCCACTAGTAACCAGTATTCATAAGTACACGAACCTGATTGTGGTATTTTCTGATCCACTAGTAACCAGTATTCATAAGTACACATACCTGATTGTGGTATTTTCTGATCCACTAGTAACCAGTATTCATAAGTACACGAATCTGATTGTGATATTTTCTGATCCACTAGTAACCAGTATTCATAAGTACACGTACCTGAGTGTGGTATTTTCTGATCCACTAGTAACCAGTATTCATAAGTACACGTACCTGAATGTGGTATTTTCTGATCCACTCATAACCAGTATTCATAAGTACATGTACCTGAGTGTGGTATTTTCTGATCCACTAGTAACCAGTATTCATAAGTACACGAATCTGATTGTGATATTTTCTGATCCACTCATAACCAGTATTCATAAGTACACGTACCTGAATGTGGTATTTTCTGATCCACTAGTAACCAGTATTCATAAGTACACGTACCTGAATGTGGTATTTTCTGATCCACTAGTAACCAGTATTCATAAGTACACGTACCTGAATGTGGTATTTTCTGATCCACTAGTACCCAGTATTCATAAGTACATGTACCTGAATGTGGTATTTTCTGATCCACTAGTAACCAGTATTCATAAGTACACGTACCTGATTGTGGTATTTTTTGATCCACTAGTAACCAGTATTCATAAGTATACGTAACTGAATATTACTTATTTTAACACTTACACTTGTTGTTACATCAAAAAAAGAGCGATGTTGAGTAGTGAGAAGTTAACATACCTGGTAACTTGGCATACTCCATAAGAAACTGGACACGTTGAGCAGCGAAGCCAATATCCTCCTTCAACTCATATATTATCTGATCCGTGCACTTGAAAAATAAAAGCAACTGATGGAGTAGTTTATCTAATTCAGTGGAGTAGTTTATCTAATTCAATGGAGTAGTTTATCTAATTCAGTGGAGTATTTTATCTAATTCAATGGAGTAGTTTATCTAATTCAATGGAGTAGTTTATCTAATTCAATGGAGTAGTTTATCTAATTCAGTGGAGTAGTTTATCTAATTCAATGGAGTAGTTTATCTAATTCAATGGAGTAGTTTATCTAATTCAATGGAGTAGTTTATC